CTAGTTCAGACCAACATCATCTCTTGCCTGGACCACTGCAAGAGCCTCCTAAAGGGTCTACTCTTGGCCAGGTTCAGTGGCTCATGCCTGTAATCCTAGCACTTTGAAAGGCCAAGGGAGGAGGATCGATTGAGGCCAGCAGTTCAAGACCAGCCTGGGCAATGTAACGAGACACTACCTTTACAAGATAAATATATGTGTATATTAATTAATCAGGCATGGTGCATGCCTGTAGGAAGCTGAGGGAGGAGGAACACTTGAGCTCAGGAGTTCAAGGTTACAGTGAGCCTTGATCCCACTACTACACTCCAGCCTGGGCAACACAGCCAGACCCTGACTTTAAAACATTAAAATAAGGCCAGGCACGGTGGCTCACTCCTGTAATCCCAGCACTTTGAGAGGCAAAGGCGGGCAGATTACCTGATGTCAAGAGTTCCAGACCAGCCTGGCCAACATGGTGAAACCCTGTCTCTACTAAAAATATAAAAGTTAGCCAGGTGTGGTGGCGAGCGCCTGTAATCCCAGCTACTCGGGAGGCTGAGGTAGGAGAATTGCTTGAACCCAAGAGGCAGAGGTTACAGTGAGCTGAGATCGTGCCACTGTACTCCAGCCTAGGCAACAGAGAGAGACTCCATCTCAAAAGAAAAAAAAAAAAGTAAAATTAAAAAAAACTACCCCTTCTATTTCACCCACTCCAGTTTGATTATTCTACTCCACAGTGACCAAAATGATATTTTTAAAATGCAAACCAGATCATATCATTCCACTGCTTTAATCCCCTTAATGACTTCCCAATACTAAAAGGAAATTTTTCAAAATTCTTAACATAGCCTAGAAGACTTTATTAGCCGAGGTAACTGTCTCTCTCTGTAGAGTCATCTCTGGCCACTCTTTCTTTTATTCTCTACAATCTAGCTTTCCCTTTTTCCAATGCCAAACTACCATTTCATGGCCTTCTAATACGCTGTCCCTCCACATTTCCCACACCCTTTCACCCATCTCCTTTCCCATTTGGAAAATTCCATTTCCCATCTGGAAAATTCCTCTGCTCTCAGTTTTCAACCTAAATTACACTTCTTCAGGTACTTTCCCCCTTCCCCACTCAGGGTAAATTAGATGTTATACGATCTTAGTGTAGCCTATGTTTTTTCCTCATACTGTGTGTCACAAATGCAATGACATCATATTTTGTGATTACCTGCTTAATGACCATGTTTTCCACTATTCTATAAGCTCATCAAGAGCAGGAGCCATGTCTCATTTGCTCAATACTGTGTGCCCAGACCTGGCACAGTGCCTGAGAGCAGAGTTGGGTTATAACCTCCAGAGAATGAGCCTACGGGTGGGCCCAGCAGCAAGGTGGGTGGAGGAAAGCAAGCCTGTGAAAGGGGGCACCCCTTTGATTTCATTCTTCACAAGTGTCTAAGTTCATTTTGTGCTGCTAAAACAGAATACCACAGGCCAGTTAATTTATAAACCAAGCTTATTTGGCTTATGGTTCTGGCAGCTGGGAAGTCCAAGAGTAAGGTGCTGTACCTGATAAGGGCCTTCGTGGCAGAAGGTGGAAGGGCAAGAGAACACATGCCCATGTGAGAAAGGGAAAGGGGGCTGAACTCCTTTTATCCTTTTATCAGGAACCCACTCTCACAATAACTAACCCACTCCTGCAGTAGTGGAATTAATCCTTTCACGCAAAGGCAGACCCCTCATGACCTAATCATCTCTTAAAGGTCCACCTCTCGACACCTGCATTGGGAATTCAGTTTCCAGCACATGAATTTCGAGAAACACATTCAAACCACAGCAGTGAGCCTCCCAGTCTTGCTCCCTTACTGCTTTTTCTACTGCCTTTTCATTATCTATAACCATCATCATGTGAACATACCACCTTAAAGTTGTTGAAAATATGCCACTTTAGGAGAATGTGCTCAGAGGAGGCAACTGATTTCCATACCCACTCGTCACCCCTCACGCCCTGGTCAGCTACTTTCTGTATATTATGTGTTAAAAATGTATGAATGAGACAAGGTCTTGCATTTCCCCTGATTCCTCGACCTCTCGTCAATGTCTGTTTGACCCCAAAGTATCCACTCACCACTCATTCCCTCAAGTCCTTCTCTCCTTCTCAAGGTTCATCAAGGGAAGGTGGTACCTTCCTTGATCCTCTAACTCCCCTCATCTAACCTCCTTAGATTCATCCTTCTTCCCCTCAAGTTGAAAGTTCTTGAAAGAATTGTCTCCATTTGTAGCATTCACTTCCTCCCCACCTACTCACTGTTATTTAGTGCTTTATTCACTCAGTTCCTGAGTAGCTAATACGTCTTCACAACATAGAATTCAAAACATTCCAGAAGGTTCACAGTTAAGCATCATTCTACTGGTCTCCCCAAGCTTCACATTTTCCTCAGCGGCAACCCCCACTACCAGCATCTTGTTTGTCTTTCCAGAAAGCATGTACTTACATTTATTCTTGTTTGTGTTTCTTTATACAAATGGAAGCATTTCTATGCATTTTCTACCTTTAGCTTTTTTCACTTAAAGTACCTTAGAGAGTGTTCTATCTACATCACGATATCCAAAGCTGCCTCATTCTTTTAAAGGGCTGCCAAAGCCCCATGGTGAGAATGGATCATAAATTCTCTACTCTGGACATTGAGGATATTACTCGTGCTTTGTTCTAACAAACATGCTGCAGTGAGCATCGTTGCACATACAGGATTTTTCCACCCTTGTGAGTGCATCTGTAGGATAAATTCATAGAAACGAAACAGCACTTTGCATTTTGGAATCAAATTGCTCTCCATAGAAGTTGTACCAATTCACCCACTACAGTAGTCCATAAATTCACTGCCCCTCATATTCCTCAACAGATTGTTTTAACAAGCGTTTTTATGTTTTTCCAGTGAACCAATCTACTTTTAATTTGCATTTCCTTGTATGAATGCAGTTGTTGCCGGGCGTGGTGGCTCATGCCTGTAATCCCAGTATTTTGGGAGGCCAAGGTGGGCGGATCACTTGAGGTCAGGAGTTCAAGACCAGCCTGGTGAACATGGTGAAACCCCATCTCTATTAAAAATAGAAAAATTAGTCAGACATGGTGGCTGGCGCCTGTAATACCAGCCACTTGGGAGGCTGAGGCAGGAGAACCACTTGAACCCGGGAGGTGGAGGTTGCAGTGAGCCAAGATCGCACCAGTGCACTCCAGCCTGGGTGACAGAGCAAGACTCTGTCTCAAAAAAAGAAAAGAAAAGTAGGCAAAACAATGCTGTTGTGCATTCTTCTTACATTTAAGAGCCCTTTGTACTTCTTGTTTCACCAACTCTCTGTTTCCATTCTTTGCCCATTTTTTCTACTACATTTTTGGTCTTTTGGTTTTCCTAGGAAAACACTATACAAGAAAACTAGTTCCTTGTCGTGGTATAAGTTGCAAATATTTTTAATTACTCTGTAACCCTTTGCAATGTGTCTTCTGTGTCCAGGGAAGCAAATGGAACTATTGTCTCGCTGGTTCCCCATGGCCTCCTGGTTGTGCCCTTCCAAGGCCTTTCTCTGTGCTCATTTTTTTTTTTTTCAGCATTTGACAATGCTGACCCACCCTTTTTGAATGTGCCTTTAAAAATTACATGTACTACTTTGTATTGCACCATCTCCCACCTCTCTGATGGTTACTTCTCTTATTCCTTCACCAAAATTCCTGTGAAGAGATCTTTGAACTCTGCCTCAGCAGTTCCCCAGGGATGAGCCCTGGCAGAAGATCTTGCTGGAGTTTTTTCCAAGCACCTTAAGTCTAATGTGATGCGCAGACAGCTATTTCCATAGCTGAGTCCAAGGCAGGCTCAGCATATTTCCTTGGCTCTTTTACTTTTCATCCCCACATCAAGCTCAACATGTCTAAAACTGTTCCTTCCAACTTTTTCACTTCCCTGGGGTTCCTATCACTCTCCCAATCCTCCTAGGTCTGAATCCTCCAGTTCCCACAGCCCAGGAGTTGCCAAGTCCTATCAATTCTTCTGTGAAAGTCATCTCCTCCACTTCTGCCCTCCTTCCCAGACCCAGGTCATCATGCTTGTCACCTCACTCTTTATCATGTGTCTTGGATGATTCTTCAACACTTTTTCCTTCTGCAGTCCTGCACATGCAATCTCCCGCTGCCCTTTGGGGAAGCCTCAATCCCTCCCATGCACCAGTGCTCCTCACTTACACCTCACCAGAGGGCTCTGCACAAAGCTAGAATCGAATGTGAATTAAGGAAGCCTGGATCCAAATGAAGTACCATGTATCCTGGAACTGGAAGATGGCATTTCCGAAAGTGAAAATTTTATATATATATACACACACACACATATATATACATATATAACATATAGATATATACACACACACATATATATATTTGTGTTATTCCTTTGGACACATCAGTTCTCTCTCTCTCTCTCTCTGTGTGTGTGTGTGTGTGTGTGTGTGTGTGTGTGCTCGCGCGCGCGCTTTGCCATTATTGCTTTTGTTTGCACTTATTTAATTTATTCAACCAACCAGCGTGTACTTTTATTCTGGTCTCCCAAACTCCTTCCCTCCAGCCCCGCTCTACTTAGCTCTCACTTTTGCTGCAGGTGTACCCACCCCCTAGAAAAATTGGTGGCAAGGAGCCATCTCCAAGACCCTGCTCCGTTTTCCAGTCCCAGGGACCATCCAGCAATGCCAGGCCAGTGAGAAGGTGGCCTAACCCTGACACTCTTAGGCCAGTGTCTCCTGTCCACCTGCGCCACTCTGCTGTCTTCTCCTTCACCTTCCATGAGCCATCTTTCCCCCACACCCACCCCAACACACACATACAAAGACCCTGCAGGAAATGGCCTCCAGCCAGGTGTCACAGCAGAGTCCGCTGACATTCTAAGACATCCTCGGTGCATGGCTAGTTGCTCTGGCACTTGAGTATTTCTTTGGGTCCCAGGATTCAGCATCCCGCTCTGAGGGACGCAACCACCCTCACACATTCAGAGTCACCCGGATGCTGTTTGGGGGTCAGTAGACAGGATAGAGTGAGGAGAAAAGGGGGCATCCGGGAGTGCAGGACGAGCTGCCCGCGGCAGGAGAGAGAAGGGAGGAGAGAGGTGAGGCCCTGGAAGGGGTGGGGACCGCTGGGCTGGCCCAGGCGGGACCGTGCACCCTGTGTGCGCGCGGCGTTGAAATGCCCTGCACGTCGGGGCAGCGGGACAGAGCTCAGGGCGCCCAGGGAGTCTGCGAGTGCCTCGCTCCTCCTGCCGCAACCATGACAGAGAACTCCGACAAAGTTCCCATTGCCCTGGTGGGACCTGATGACGTGGAATTCTGCAGCCCCCCGGTGAGTACCGCCAGGGATTCCACACGCAGGGTCCGGGGTGAGTATCTGGTTCCACAAGTCCGACTCAGGGATGCGTGCCACCGAATGAGTGTGTTGGCGGGGGGGATAAATTTGGGTTCCAAATGTGTGCGTGGGGTGTCGCCCCACGCGTATGAGTGTGCAGGGGGCACGGCATCCACAGGCGGGTACGGAGGGGCGTCCCGTGGCCAGTGGAGGGTGCAGGTCCTGGGGCGAAGGCCCCGCGCTGCGAGGTTTGCTCACCGCACTTCCTCGCCCGATGGCAAAGGACCCTCAGGAGCGAGCGCGGCGAAAGAGGCACCCGTAGAAGCCCGGGCCAGCTGTTTCCCGCCCGACTCCCCACTCCCTGGGGGCCACCGTGTGGGCCCGGGTGCGCGCGGGGCGCAGGTGCGGGCGGCACAAACGTGACGGTCCCTCTCCCACCCCGGTCCGCAGGCGTACGCTACGGTGACGGTGAAGCCTTCCAGCCCCGCGCGGCTGCTCAAGGTGGGAGCTGTGGTCCTCATTTCAGGGGCGGTGCTGCTGCTCTTCGGGGCCATCGGGGCCTTCTACTTCTGGAAGGGGAGCGACAGTCACGTAAGTCCAGAGGGCGGCGCGCGGGGACACCCGTGTTGCCCACGGTGCCCCTAGGGGGAGCCCAAGCGCGGGCCAGCGAGGGGCGCGCGGCGGCTGCCGCAGGACCCCTCGGGGCCAGCGTGAGCTCCCCTCTCCGGTCCCACTCTGGCACGCAACTTTCCGCCTTAGGTCAACTTTGTAGAAAAGCAAGTGAAGGATTCACGGGAGAAGACTGAAGCGTAGAGTAGGGGAGAATGCAGTGGACGGTCCGAGAAAGGCCGTTTTCGGTCATCTCCCGCTAAGCAGTGGCGCGACAGTGGGGAAGGCACGTTACCTTTTGGCCTCAGTGTACTCCTCCTTAAGGGAAAAAATGGAACTGGATGATCTCGAAGGCCTCTCCCTGCTGAGAAAGGCTATGGATGTAAAATCCAGGACAAAGATAGTGGAGGAATATTCAGACCCATATTCAGACCCATTGGGAAGGAATTTTTGCCTTTCAGAAGGTTTTTTTGTGACCTAGCCATGAACATTCGCTTCTCTCTCTGGAAAACAAAAACAAAAACAACAAACAAACAAACAAACAAAAAGTCTAACTTCCTTAAAGGTGGAAAATCTCTTTAACAATTAATTCTGGCCTAGTCATCACATGTGATTTAATAGTAGGTGTTTTACTGACTGCTGTCCTACTTTCTTTGTATGCAACTATTTATTTTAAAGCTCCATGGCTCTCGAGGAGTATAAAGACTGCCTCTAAGTTGACTGGGCAGAGCTCCAGTGTGTTCTCTAAATACTCTGAATGTGTTCACCTATGTAAAAGGGGGCATTTTATCTTGATGACCACTGCCAGGTCTGGTATAAGCTTATTTCGACTAATGGAAAAGAATTCCATCTCCAGGGCACACACAAAGGGTTCTTTCATAATCACTATCCTCAGAGGATCGGTGATTGCTGTTTTTTCCTCTCTCTCCTACCATGAAATGCAAGGCATGAACGAATTCCAGTACTTACAGAAAATGGTGCTGAAAGCAATTCAACCATTTTACACATCACATCTTCTGCAGTCACTGCATAATTTGTATTTTTAACTCAAATGTCTAATGTAGATAAGCATGCCATTTAGCACCGAGTCTGTTTTAGAGACTATATCAAATTTACAAGCATCGATTTGTAAGATCTGAATTGCACTGTATTTTGTGGGTATTTGAAAAGTGCCTTAATGTATTTGTATTTTAAATATAGAAGCTGGGCCAGATGCTCATGTTTGAAACAGCAAATGTGAATAAGAGAATGATTTCAATATCTACATCTCCATTAATAGCGGGGTTTAGATTGTCATCTCTTTGGGGAATTCTGTGGTTTTAGAATGTAAACGATATCTTTTTTTTTTTTTCTTTTGAGACGGAGTCTTGCTCTATCGCCCAGGCTGGAGCGCAGTGGTGCCATCTCGGCTCACTGCAAGCAAGCTCCGCCTCCCGGGTTCACTCCATTCTCCTGCCTCAGCCTCCCAAGTAGCTGGGACCACATGCGCCCGCCATTGCGCCCGGCTAATTTTTTGTATTTTTAGTAGAAAAGGGGTTTCACCGTGTTAGCCAGGATAGTCTCGATCTCCTGACCTCGTGATCTGCCTGCCTCGGCCTCCCAAAGTGCTGGGATTACAGGCGTGAGTCACCGCCTGTAGATAGCATTTAAAATGCTATCTTTTAAATAACAAAGCCTCAGTGGTATAGGTCAATGGGGGATAAAAATAGCTATGCTTTTTTTGGGTAAAGATTCTGGACATGATATATATTTTAAAATGAATACCACTTGGCATTTAATTATTCAAGGTAAACTTCACTAACTGACAAGCTTCTTCTTTTTTTTTTTTTTTTTGTGAGACGGAGTCTGGCTCTGTCGCCCGGGCTGGAGTGCAGTGGCCGGATCTCAGCTCACTGCAAGCTCCACCCCCCGGGTTTACGCCATTCTCCTGCCTCAGCCTCCCGAGTAGCTGGGACTACAGGCGCCGCCACCACCCCCGGCTAGTTTTTTTTTTTTTTTTTTTTTTGTATTTTTTAGTAGAGACGGGGTTTCACCGTGTTCGCCAGGATGGTCTCGATCTCCTGACCTAGTGATCCGCCCGTCTCGGCCTCCCAAAGTGCTGGGATTACAGGCTTGAGCCACCGCGCCCGGCCTGACAAGCTTCTAAAAAGAGAGATTAAACAATCATACTGAATAAGCACAACTCCCTTTTTCATATCTTTTACTTTACTGCACGATGATTGGTTGTCTGGTTCAGGAGAGCAGTATTAAATTCTAAGAATTCAGAGGAACAGTGACACACATTTTATTGCCAACAATCAAAGTTATTACTATATCCTATACAGACAGGAGAATGAAGAAAATCACGATAGTTTTTTTCTCCCTGATCCATATGACTTAAGTATGAAAAACAAATCACAAAATACTAAATAGAGTAACTTTGGCACCATCTAGGCATAGCACATACACAGGTCTCTTTGCCTGAATACAAATCTAGATAGCTCAGACAAAATGTAATAAAAAAAGGTAAGTCTCTGTCAAACAAAAAGACTTGTCATACCAGATGGATTATCCACTCTTTGGGGATTATCTGTGCCTCGGCTCCTCTGTATTGGTTTATAGAGGAGAACCAGCTGTAATTCACCACCTATGCCTTTCATGTGGGGAAATCTCCTTAGGACAGGTTTACTGAAATTTAGTTGGAGGACTATGAAGCACCGGAGTACTAATAATCAGGGTACAACTGAACTGGTCTCCAATATTGAGGCCATTTTTCATCCACATTATTGTAAATGGAACAAGGCACTGAAATATGGGAGATTTCCACCATGACAACCCCACCCTGTGGGATGAGGGAAGGAGATCATTGCTTGGGGCCTTTCCTCTCAGACTAATTTTTCTAGACATTTTCCCAAACATGTAATTAATCTTATAGAACGTAGGCCTTGTTAAAAACTCATTAGCAAATATCCTTGGCTGTAAAAGGCACCATATTGAGCAGAATTTTGGGAAATAATAAATTTCATCTTATTTGGATAAAAATATCCTTGGGTGTCCACAGTTCCACGGACTTAGAGCAGATAAGGTAAATGCTGCTCCAACAGCCCAGCCTCGTCCCCAGCTCAGAGTCTAGTCTGTTAGAAACTGGACTGCCTCCTCCCCCTCCAACCTCCCCCAGTAGCTTTAAGAGGGCATGAGCTTTTCACTGCTGTCCCCATGCAGATGGCGCGGTGCACATAAAAGGTGGGCTGCAGGCTGGCCATGGTGGCTCAGGTCTGTAATCCCAGCACTTTGGGAGGCTGAGGCAGGAGGATCACTTGAAGTCAAGAGTTCAAGACCAGCCTGGCCAGCATGATGAACTTCCATCTCTACTAAAAATACAAAAAAATTAGCCAGGCATGGTGGCGCATGCCTGTAGTCCCAGCTCCCTGGGAGGCTGAGGCAGGAGAATGGCTTAAACCTGGGAGGCAGAGGTTGCAGTGAGCCAAGATTGTGCTACTGCACCCCAGCTTGGGTGACAGAGTAAGACTCCATCTCAAAAAAAAAAAAAAAAAAAAAAAAGGTGGGCTGCAGCTGCACAACCAAGATGCCCTACTGCCCTACGTCAAGCTTGTCCTGCATGCGGCCCAGGGCGGTTTTGGATGCAACCCAACACAAATTCGTACTTTCTTAAAACATTATGAGATTTTATTTTTAGATTTTTTTTAAAAACTCATCAGCTATCGTTAGTGTATTTTATGTGTGGTCCAAGACAATTCTTCTTCAATTGTGGCCCAGGGGAGCCAAAAGATTGGACACCCCTGCACCTAGTTAGGGAGGCTTTGTTGGGGAGAAGACAGCCAGAGGTAGTGGTGGAGGAATGTGAAATTCAGACCACAGACCACTCTTCTAGTGTGACAACCTTGTCTCCTTAAGAACTGCTAAGAATTTAGAAATGGGTATGTTCTTAAATGTTGCATTGCTTCACTAGTAAAAGCTTATGTGCAATGTTCTTAAAAAAAAACAAAAAACTGAACCTCTTGTCACATGAGTGGAAGATATTCACATGGGTGTTGCCTGCCAGGCTCCTTCTGACAGTTGTCACTGACCCATATGAACACTGACTGCTCAGAGAGCACCGGACAGAACAGAGCCTGCTTTCCAAACCTCGCCTGCAGGAGTCTCACAGCCAAAGAAAACAGGTTTCCCAAACCTGGCTGATCATAAGGGCCACCTGAGGGGCAAGGGGAAAAGAGACTGGTGGGCTGTGCTCTAGCTCCACTAAATCAGAACCCCTAGGAGTGGTTCTTGTGATCAGGGAAGCCTAGGAGACAGTAAATTGCAGACATCTAAGTTCCTCCTAAAGAGACAGGGAAGGAGGGGCGATGAGGGACACTGGTATTTTCTGTCCTGCTGAATGAATGCTATTCCTAAAAGGGTGCTGGATAGCAAAGCCATTTCTGTATCTCTGCTGATAATAAAATAGTGCACTGTGGGTCTTGTAATAATGAGTCTTCTGCAAGAAATAGATCCAACAGTAACAGATCCTTTTTCCAGTGTTTGTGCACGTAGCAGTCACTTTTCATAATGAGGAAGAAAAATCAGACTTGAATTGGATGTGAGCTATTTGCAGTTTTGACTGGCTGACCTGACATTAAGTAGCAACAGTTTTTCATCAGTTCTCACTCCTCCCCTTTAAGGATTTATATATATGTGTACATATACATCTACAATTTATATATAAGATATGTAATATATCATATGTAAGATACATAGATATACATCCATATGCATCTAAATCCAAAAAACAAACCCACCTCCTAGCCCTGACACACAGAAAGGTCTACCAGGACAGCAGCACACCGAGCAGGAGCAGCATCTGAGTTATTTTGAAACCAGTGCAGTAATCAGGTGTCTGAGCCCTTTGGGTCGGCTAATTAGTGGCAAACTTAAAAAAAAAAATGTTTTAAGTGTTGAAATTTGTCTTTCTAACAAAATGTTACTCAGAAATGCAACACATAAGACAGAAAAAGCAGAGCCACTCTGGTTAGACTGTGGATGGACAGGAGAGAACAGAGTGCTACAGTGCCATCCTCACCTCTAGGTCATGCCCATGAGATCCCAACAGTTCTAAGTACACGGATGAAAGCCACCTATGAGGTCCAACTTCATTCTACACTCGCGGCAACTCACAAGATCCAGAGATGAGTGGTGTGGCCACCTGTTTTCCTGATTCCTGGACCGGTGCTGTTCTGCAGTGCCAGGTCCCTTCCCCTCTTCCACACACCCCACACATCTCATAACAAAATGCCCTACAGCACCATGGGCCTGCCCCATAGAGTCGTTCAGGGAGTACTACTGTTTTGAACTGAAACAAACGTGCACATTGGCCTTCCTCTCCACACATGCTGCTCTATATCAAGCATACCCTGGTCCTGTCTGCAGTCCTTTTCATATACCTAATACCATATACCATATGCCTAAGGCACTCCATGCCTAATCTTGACCAAAGGATGAAAACAACTTGTGAAATTGAGGTGCCACTGCAGACGTATTCAGCTGGGAGTCCAATTAACCTTCTGCCTCCTCAATTTCCATTTATCCATCAATAGTTCTCAACCCAGTTGCAGAATAGAGTTGAGCTTTAGAATAAGAAAGACCTATGCCCACGCGCCCTCCCCACAGCTTCTGATTTGATTTGTCCAGGGTGAAACCCAGGCATGGTACCCAGAGAGTCTACCCAGATGCTTCTAAAGTACAGCCAGCATTACAAATTACTGAGCTATTGGAATAGGTGTCAGAGACAACCAAAGGTTTTACTCGTAAGGTGTTTTTAAGGAAATCATTGCATTAACTGATTGCTGTATGAATGAAGTCTTCGTATATAAATGTATTATTATTAAGGACTATCCCAAGTATCTCTGAAACATATGGACGCTACCTCATACACTGCCGTTCTAAAGATGAGCCCTGAATTGCTCAAAAGAGAAAACATCACTAACTCTTATGCTCACTTTCAGATTTACAATGTCCATTACACCATGAGTATCAATGGGAAATTACAAGATGGGTCAATGGAAATAGATGCTGGGAACAACTTGGAGACCTTTAAAATGGGAAGTGGAGCTGAAGAAGCAATTGAAGTTAATGATTTCCAGAATGTAAGTATATTTCATGCATTTACAGAGTTTAACCAGGCAAGCCTGGGGGACTTTTCTAATTCATGGAGAAGCAGCATTTCTCACACACATCCAAACGGTAACTGTTCTTTATAGCAGCTGTAATGCCACTAATCCACATACGTCATATAGCATATTCTCTTTGAGAAAGGACCAAACTTTGTCCTTCATATTTGCGAAAGAAAAAACAACACTTCAGTTGTAAAATACCAAAAACAAAAAGAACCACCTTCATTGAATTCATGTACATAAGGATTTAGCTGTTTTGAAAAAATTTTTTTACTTCTAGGAAACTAAAGGTATTTCCTGGAAATCAAAATAAAACTTGATTTTTAAATGTGGAAAAAAAAAAAAAACCATAGCACTGAAAAGAACAAGTTCTTCTTAGAATTATATAAAGTCTTGGCAGAAAGACTTGAAGGAGCTACTTCTTTTCAAGCGAATTTCTGTAACATGATGAATGAAATGCTCAAAACTATCCAAGAATGTTGTGAGATTTGAAATTTAAATTTCTGAAGTAGAGGGAAATTTTAATGACCTAATAATCTCATCAGCAACAAGTGGGATCTATTTACATACTTTTCTCAATTCCGATTTCCTATTTAATCCGGAAAATTACCATGAGCAAATTCTCCTATTATAGCATATGTTTTCTGACCATAGCATATTAGAGATAAAACATGCACACCTCCTTTGAAGAGGAGACACTGTTTTGTTTTGATTTTTTAACAAAAATTTCATTTACAGGCAATTTGAGACATTAAGCTGTGCAGCAATGTTTCAGTGTACATCTGCAAACCAAAGTGCCACTCCAGGCCGAATTTCCTGTTGGTCAACATAAATTTTTTTTTTTTTTTTTTGAGATGGAGTCTCGCTGTGTTGCCCAGGCTGGAGTGCAGTGGCGGGATCTCGGCTCACTGCAAGCTCCGCCTCCCGGGTTCACAGCATTCTCCTGCCTCAGCCTTCTGAGTAGCTGGGACTACAGGCGCCCGGCACCACACCCTGCTAATTTTTTTGTATGTTTAGTAGAGACGGGGTTTCACTGTGTTAGCCAGAATGGTCTCGATCTCCTGACCTCGTGATCTGCCCGCCTTGACCTCTCAAAGTGCTGGGATTACAGGCGTGAGCCACCGCGCCTGGCCTGGCCTGGCCAACATATATATTTTATGCCCTTTCATGTTTTATGATGAGGAAGAGGCATTACTATTTGTGTTCTCCTGTTAAATCTGCAGATGGAGTAGGTGAAACTTCATAATGAAAAAAGACTCTTGAAAATAATGTCTCTTCTGATAGTTTATTGGTCCACAAACACCTCATCGACCCATCTTCCTCTGATTGATGAGAAAAGCTAAAGATGCTTTTCATTTGAGTGAAAGCACTCCTCTTGTTGGTACCAAAATATACCTCATAAGTCCATTTGAATACCCAACAGATGCTAACATTAGAGCTGCTGTGATGTTAGATATTATTTGATCATGACAAGGACTGACTATGTTCAGAATGATCTCTGCCCTGGGGACAGCCTCTGCAGCTCTGTATGTGCCCAGCTGCACTTTGTTTAGTCATAGCTTTGCCAATGATTCTGGTCAATGCACACGTATAATTTCTCTGCACTTATTAAAGGCTTTTACTGCAAGACACAGGATAGGGTAAAATCATTTTTTCTTTGTACTTCTCAATATAAACTAATAAAATGTGACTCCCCAACACACATTATTCAATCCAGAAATTGAATGCCTGTGGTATGCCGCAATATTAAGATATGCAAAAGGAGCTACAGAGATTAATAAGAAAAGATTCGTCTTTCCTGAGATGTTCATGTATCAAAAATATTCTTCTAACATATTTTAATCCCAAACCTGTATTTCTGTTTTATAATCCTTTGGTTCTTTTCTCATAATGGTATCGATTGTGTTTTGTTCTCGTAGACCAGCAGGGCCACAGATATTTTATAAACTGATCAATTCTCTTTGATAGCTTCCACATTTCTCTAAGTCAGAACTGGTGAGTAGAACATTTTTTTGATGGATAGAACCTGTTGTGGGTTTAAACAAGCCTGAACTTTTGAAAACACATGAATCAGTCACTATGGTACCTATGCTATTACTTTCTCCTGTATTTTGAATCAACAGTCAAATTCAAGAAGCATTTATTGAGACATACTGTGTGCAAGGGATGGTGCTAAGCAGGGGGAATGCAAAAATGATTGACTCTTCCCTCAAGGATCCTTCAGTTCAGTCCAGGAGGCAGACACACACACAGAAATAGCTTCAGGTTCGCCTGGAAAATGTGTTCCAATGGGCTATGAACAGAGAGGAAACATCCTTGCTGAAAAGGGGACTGGAGCAGGTCTTACAGAGGTGGTGATGGCCAAATCAGGTCCTGAAGAATGATTAGGATTTCAACCGTCAGACAGGTAGGGGAGAGCTCTCCAGGCCCAGGGAAAAATAGCGAACATGAATGTGCAGGCTTGTTCCAGGGTTCTAATTCTAAGTAGCCCAGTTCAGCCCAGCTTGGGGAAGGAAAGAAGATGGGGATACAGGTGGGGCTAGATCACAAAAGGTTTTGAATTGTAAATGAACAGTCTCCCCGGTTCATCCAGGACCCCACCAAGCTTTTAGTAGAACCCAGTGGGAAAAAACAACCCCCAAGGAAGGATAGCACTGAAAAAAGTGCTCCAGGCTCTCCACCCTGAGAGATAGAAAAGCCAAGTTCATTCAAGCTGTGTGAGTTACACTCCAGTTATACTCTCACAAACACCAGCGCTGTGCTTTAAGCCAACCCCCTTAGACTGAATGCCCCATTTATATAACAAAAAGCCTTAGAAATTGAAAGAATAAACTGATGGGTATATGGGTGTTCACTGTATAATTCTTTTAATTCTGTGAATATTTGAAATTTTTTATTTAAAAAGCTAGAGAAAGTAAAGACAGCATAACCTATCAATTCAGCCTCCAACTACAAGGTAAAGGAAAAAGAAAATGAAACTAATTTATATTAAAAATATGGACTTCATATGTAAATGTTCAGCCAGATGCACTAAAAGACATAAAGTCAAATACTTATAGTATAGTAGTAGTTGAATGACTGTCAGTGCCACAGCCCAAAATGCAGACAGACACAAGTGTGTGTTGGCAATTTAAATGCTATGTAATTTTCTCAAACAGTGAAGAAAAGCACTGTTTTCTCTCCATTTCACAGTAATTGCATTCCTAGGAAATTTGTTGTACATTAAGACTATGCCAGAAATTACTTTGTGTATACATATAAAACAACATTGAGTGCTAGGCACTGATATTTACAAACAGGTTTTTTTTCCTCCAACCCAGGACAATTAGTTCTTCAGGACTGTCCCAGGCTCTGCAGGACCTGACGTCCCTGGGCCCTGTGCAGTAAAGGTCAGGAGTGCCCCCAATCTTTGTGACAACAAAAAACTCCTCAAAGGATTTCTAAAGTGCTGTCTTGGGGACAGGAACTCCTACCATCCTTGGGAACCTCTGGTTTAAGCCATAGAAATAGATAGATGAGATACGTTAGAAAGAAAAAAATGTGCAGCCAAGGTAAGATTACCTCACTCTTTTGAAAAAAGAATGTTAGATTCTTGGACTCTTCACTCATCACCCTTGCTAGCAAATTTCTTCATTACCACTAGCTTCTAAAGCCTGTTTGTTTGCAAAAACAGAAGGTTTGCTCGGCTTTCTTGTGCTTCTTTCAGTTCCCTCTATTTAATCTCTTAATATATCTGGCTGCTTGATGTGGAGTTTTAGCTAGACATGGTGGTAAATATGTGTGAATTGTTTCCCACACTTCCCACCCCATGGGGGTTTCAGTTCTCGCTGAGGTGTGTCGATTGTCAGAACCAACTTAATACGAGATTCCCATTCAGGGCTGTGAATCCTTCAGTAGAATCAGCTCTCCCCTTTGGGGATATCGTGACGGTTGTATAGCGTTCCCTCCACACATGTCACATTCAGGGGATGTGTCTGAAGTTAAGAGAAAATGTCACATAAGGAGAATCATCTCCCTCCCTGCCTTCTGTTTTTCAAACTATGAGTCCTAAATTTACATGCCAAATAAGAGCAGTGGCCCTACAGGAGGTAGCATAGAGAAAGCAGTTATTCTCCACGTGTATTCCTCAGGCTGCCAGTGGAGCATCACTGGAAGGCTTGTTAGAAATGCAGATTTTAGGCCCCACCCCAGACCTACTGAATGGGAAACTGGGGGTGGGGTACAACACTGTTTAATTTAACAAGTCCTCCAAGTGATTTTTTTTTTTTTTTTTGAGATGGAGTCTCGTTCTGTTGCCAGGCTGGAGTGCAGTGGTGCGATCTTGGCTTACTGCAACCTCCGCCTCCTGGGTTTAAGTGATTCTCCTGCCTCAGCCTTCCGAGTAGCTGGCACTACAGGTGCATGCCACCATGCCCAACTAATTTTTGTATGTTTAGTAGTGACGGGGTTTCACCTTGTTGGCCAGGATGGTCTCCATGTCTTGACCTCACGATCCTCCCACCTCAGCCTCCCAAAGTGCTGGGATTACAGGCATGAGCCACTGCGCCCCGCCCAGGTGATTTTTTAATTTGCCTTTTTTAAATTGTTACATAATATTTTATATATTTATGGGTTATATGTGATATTTTGTTACATGAATAGAATGTGTAATGATAGGGTATTTGGTTTTCATTTCTATGTGTTGGGAACAAGTCCTCTCTTATAGCTACTTCGAAACATATAATAATACACTGTTGCTAACTATAGTCATCCCACTCTGCTATTGAACATTAGAACTTACTTCTTCTATCTAACTGCATGTTTGTACCACCCATTAACCAACCTGTCTTCATTTCCCCAGCTCCACCCATATACCCTTCTCAGCCTCTGGTGTCTATCATTTTCTGCTTCCATGAGATCAACTTTTTTAGCTCCCACATAGGAGTAAGAACATGTGACATTTGTCTTTCTGTGCCATTTGTTTTTCATTTAACATAGTGACCTCCGGTTCCATCCATGTTACTGCAAATGACATGATTTCATTCTTTTCTATGACCAAATAGTATTCCATTGTGGATATATAGATATATATACCAGTGATCCTTCTCCCTTCCAAGTAGCTGGAACTACAGGCACACACCACCACACTTGGCTAATTTTTAAGTTTGTTTTGTAGAAATGGGGTCTCACCATGTTGCTCAGGCTGGTCACGAACTCCTGGGCTCAAGCAATCCTCCTGCCTCAGCCTCCCAAAGTGTTGGGATTAGAGGCATAAGACACTATGATTGGCCCTTTTTAAATCTTTTTTCTTTATTTTTTTCTGACTGGGTTATTTCAAAAGACTTGTCTTCAAGTTCTGAGATGCTTGAAATAGTCTATTGTTGAATCTTTTTTTTTTTTTTTTTTTTTGAGACGGAGTCTGGCTCTGTTGCCCAGGCTAAAGTGCGGTGGCGCCGTTTCAACTCACTGCAACCTCCGCCTCCTGAGTTCAAGCAATTCTCCTGCCTCAGCCTCTCGAGTAACTGGGATAATAGGCATGCACCACCATGGCCAGCTATTTTTTGTTTGTTTTTTTATTTTGTATTTTCAGGAGAGACAGGGTTTTACCATGTTGGCCAGGCTGGTCTCGAACTCTGGCCTCAGGTGACCCACCTACCTTGGCCTCCCAAAGTGCTGGGATTACAGGCGTGAGCCACTGTGCCTGGCCTCTATTGTTGAATCTTTTAAGTGTATATTGTATTTAATTCAATGAATTCTTCAGTTCCATAATTTCTATTTGGTTCTTTTTTATAATATACATCTCCTTATTAAATTTCTCATTCATATTCATATTAAATTTCTCAATCCTAAATTTTCTGATTTGTCATGTTTTTCAGTATTCTCTTGTATCTCATGGAGCTTCTTTAGTATCAATATTTAAATTTTTTTCTGGGATTTAATAAATTTGTTTTTGATTGCGATCTGTTGCTGGAGAATTATTGTATTCCTCTGGAAGTGTCATATTTTATGGCTTTTTCATGCTTCCTGTGTCCTTGTGTTGATATCTGTGCATCTGATGTAATAGTTGCTTATTACAGTTTTTTAAATTCGCTTTCATGGGGTAGACTTTTGGTGTTGGGTAGGTAGGGCACTTAGGCTTTGATTCTGGGTGCACGCAGTAGTATACTCTCTGTATTTTTTTTTTTTTTTTTTTTTAGCTGTAAGCAGCATCAGTGGTGTCTGTGATTTTCCTTGGTGGCTTAAGGTGTGGTTGTTAATGAAGACTTCTGAAGTTTTGCTGGGGACCCAGGGGATTTTTGATACAAGGGAAGGTTTGTGAACCACTGATAAAAAGAAACTTGGGTCCAAAGGTTATTGCAATCATGTTAAAAGCTTTGTTACCTTGAATACCTTTCTCTTTCATATGGTAGTCTTCAACCCTGGCATCAACCCTTTAAATTATAAACACCTGGGGAGTTTTTAAGACTACCATTACCTGGGCCCCAAAGCAAACCAATCAAATGGGAATCTCTGGGAAGGGGCACAGGCATCTGTGTTCTTAAACCCTCTCCAGTGAATTCAAGTGCAGTGAGAGCCAAGCCTCAGCAGTGAGCCTCGGAGTTCCTCCCCTTCTGTAAAGTGCGGATAATGCCCCTGCCTCTCTCTGAGTGAGCAGTAGTGCTGGGAGAAATAGGTGAAATGAGTTACATAGGTATGCATGATTAATGAAGCCAAATAATGAAGAGCTTGAGGAAGAATGAGCCCTTTCTTCTATGTTCTGCAGTCCTTTACTCACCAGCTTCTGTAGGACTCCTGGCTCTGGGACTGCATAAGGTAGAGCTATCCATGAATCCCCTCCAGCATGACTTACATTTAATTTTCTTCTTCATTGTAAAGGGCTGAATCTTGAGCCAGGATCCCTAGATTTTAAGTGTTTTCTTCCCCCATTCCTTGTCACTGGACCTGGTACCATTTCTATATCATCCCAACACTTGCCTCAACTCAACAGAGGACTGATAAGGTTCAGATTTGTGCTAGTATCTCCATTATTATACCATAAAAATTGTAGGCCTTTAATATTATTTTAGGTTCACTACTCCTGAAACTAATAGCAGCAGGGGAGAGTAAACATTCTTGGGACAGAACGTCCTGTTACCCATCATGTCCTCTGTGGGTAGAACCGGGGCTGTGCTGTCAGCCAAGACTGGAGCTTTGAGGTTGATGTTTCCCTTGAGGCAGGTTTTAGGCAGACCAAGAGAAGATATTGTTTATATCTCTCAGGAGACAAAAAAAAAAAAAAAAAAAAAATCCGAGTCCTTGGGTAAGGTATAGAAGGAAAGTTCAGGACCAGGTGCTGTAAAAAGTTTTACTGTTTACTCTGGGCTCAGTAATTTAGGAAAATTCTGAATTCATAGAATTAATTAATTTGACCAACATCTTTCGAGAACCTTTGTGGGATCACCAAAAAAGAAAACAAAAAAGATTCAAATACTGATCTCAAGAAGCTTGTAACTAAGTAGGCTATGTCTAGTTGAGTAATTATCCCAGTTGAGGAATGAAGAGGGGAGGACTTACGGGAAAGCAGAGGAAAGATAGCTGCTTAGGCCGAGATGTTCAGAGAAGGCTGCATGGAGACGGTGGCATTTCATCTGAGCTTGTGAATATAGATGGAATAACTAACATACTCTGTCCCAGCTCAAATATCATGCCCTCACTGAGTCACCTCCCCTGAATATGCTGTCTAAATTACCACCTCATCATTCCTGTCTTATTTTTCTTCATAACAGTTATTACCCGACTTTATCTCTGTTTTTGTTTGTTTCTGTTTTTTTGAGACAGAGACTTGTTCTGTCACCCAGGCTGGAGTGCAGTGGCTATCTTGGCTCTCTGCAATCTCTGCCTCCCAGGTTCAAGTGATTCTCCTGCCTCAGCCTCCCAAATAGCTGGAGTTACAGGAGCTCGCTACCACACCCCACTAATTTTTGTATTTTTACAGAGTTTCACCATGGTGACCAGGCTGGTCTCAAACTCCTGACCTCAGGTGATCTGCCCACCTCAGCCTCCCAAAGTTCTGGTGGCATGAGCCACCGTGCCCGGCTGTTTTTGTTTTTTTGTTTTTGTTTTGAGACGGAGTCTGGCTCTGTCGCCCAGGCTGGAGTGTAGTGGCGCGATCTTGGCTCACTGCAAGCTCCGCCTCCCGGGTTCACGCCATTCTCCTGCTTCAGCTTCCCGAGTAGCTGGGACCACAGGCGCCCGCCACCTCGCCCAGCTAATTTTTTTTTTTTTTTTTTTTTTTTTTTTTTGCATTTTTAGTAGAGACGGGGTTTCACCGTGTTAGCCAGGATGGTCTTGATCTCCTGACCTCGTGATCCACCTGCCTCGGCCTCCCAGACTGCTGGGATTACAGGCGTGAGCCACCGCGCCTGGCTGCTCGCTGTTTTTTATTATTGGTAAATAATGCTAAAAGGTAAGTTCCATCAGGGCAGTTTCATCTCTTTTGTTCATCCCTATCCCCAGCACCCAGAAAAGCATCTGGAACACAGTAGACACTCAATAAATGGAATAAATAAACAAACGGATAGATAGATGGATACACTTTTGTTTCATAGGGCATCACAGGAATTCGTTTTGCTGGAGGAGAGAAGTGCTACATTAAAGCGCAAGTGAAGGCTCGTATTCCTGAGGTGGGCGCCGTGACCAAACAGAGCATCTCCTCCGAACTGGTGGGTACCAACATGCCTGAGACAGTGAGACTGCTAGGCAAACATTGTTCGAAGGCACAACCCTTTTGGTTTTTATTTTATTTTTATTGAGACAGAGTCTCACTCTGGAATGCAGTGGCGCTTTTTGGCTCACTGCATCCGATTCTCCTGTCTCAGCTTTCCAAGTAGCTGGGACTAGAGGCACGCCACCACGTCCAACTCACTTGTATTTTTAGTAGATACGGGCTTTCACCATGTTGGCCAGGCTCTTCTTGAACTCCTGGCCTCAAGTGATCTGCCCGCCTCAGCCTCCCAAAGTGCTGGGATGACAGGAGTGAGCCACCGCGCCCAGCCTAAAGGCACAACCCTTTTGGTTTCTAGTATCTGGATAGGTTCATGACTAGATCGTAAATTCTATTTCTTCTCTGCCAAAGGAATTTAAACTGTTTTTGTCCTACTGGGGTCAAGGGATTCTTCTCACATGATATAGCATATTTAAACGTTTTGGGAAGCCACATTTTAAAGTGCATAAAGGGGCTGGGTGCTCATATGGCCTTATTTGCCTGCCGTTAGGGAACTATCTGGTCTGTGGTTAAGACTCCACAATAGAGGCAGGCATGGTGGCTCACGCTGGTAATCCCAGCACTTTGGGAGGCTGAGGTTGGCAGTTCATCTGAGGCCAGGAATTTAAGACAAGCCTTGACAACACAGCAAAACCATGTCTCTACTAAAAACACAAAAAATTAGCTGGCCGTGGTGGTGCGTGCCTATAGTCCCAGCTACTCAGGAGGCAGAGGTGGGAGGATCACTTGAGCCCAGGAGATTGAGGCTGCAGGGAGCTAAGATTGCACCACTGTACTCCAGGCTGGGCGTCAGAATGAGACCCTATCTCCCCCAAAAAACCCAAAAACACACAAAAAAACAAAAAACAAAAAACAAAAACCCAAAAGAGACTCCACAATAAAGACAAAGGACTCCACAAGATAGAGTCTTCATTAAAGGGACCCACGATAGCGAATCACACAGCCTCCACTGGAAAGCAGCCACAGGGCACTCATCCCCCACCCCAATGCCAGCCAGCTTCACTGAGGGTAGTTCTAATTGTTTTGCCCTACATTAAGCTGAGATAGCTCCTCCTACAACTTCTTCCCACTGGTTCAGGTTCAGCCCATTGAAGCTACACAACATATATCCAATTCCTTTTCTATGTGTCAAACCTGTGAGGTTTTAAAACATGTTTCTTTCATTTATTATTAATAACTTGCCTTTGAGCTTGATTTTTTTTTAAATTTAGGAATTGCATACAGTGTTCTAAAGACACATTTAACAATAATACCTTTCTTTTAATAGTGGTTTAGGGCTTACAAAGTGGTCCCATTGATTATTGTCTTTTATTTGAGTTGTGGCAGGAGAGGGTGGAGAGAAAATGGGCTTTGAAGTCAGAAAGACGTGGATTTACATCCCAGCTCTCATACTCCCTATGGATATTGTCATCTGCAAGCTGGGGGTATGCACACAGTACCCATGGCCCTGAATCTACCTGATGGTTGACAGATGGCTGCTGCTCATTGTTAATTTTATTATGATCATCTTTGATCCTCCCAGTATCCCTGAGAGGAGGTAAAGCAAGTATCAGCTTCCTCAAGGCAAAAGAGGAAAACTATGGGTAAGCAAAGGTGCCTGGAAACTGCCTGATTGTTTGCCCCCATAGGAGCAGCTGCAGGCAGTGTCTCAAAACAGAACAAAACAAAAGCTAAAAAACAAGCCTGTGAGTTTGTAAAGCTGGCTACCATTCCTCTGTTTTCTCTTTTCTACTGTTTCCCATCCATCCTGTGAGATGTATTCCAGACCTTCCTTGCTCTGGTCATTCTCTCCTGATGGTGTTCCAGCTGGTTCCTTATGAACTGTGCTGTTCAGAATCAAAGGCCATCTTCTCGGTGCGAATATGTTATACTAAGTATAAAAATGGGACCAAGACCTCCTTTGTTCAGACCCTTGAACTTCTCTTATTGCATTACCATTTTTTATAGTCATATCCCTCAGTTTCTGTCATGAAGACTTCAGTGAACTATAATCCTTGCCATTTTCCCTATAAATGGACCCAGAACTTGTTCTCTCCTGCCTTCTACAAGGACCAATTCCCCAACAATGGCTGACCCAAATTTAATCATAAGTTTGCAGTATATTTTCTGGGTTTTTAAATATATTTTTCCCTGATTTTTTTTTTTAAAAAAGACTTTGTTACTGTAGGAAATTTGAGAGATACATAAAAGTATATATACAGATGGCCAAATAGGAACAGCTCCAGTCTGCAGCTTCTAGCATGATCAACACAGAAGGTGGGTGATTTCTGCATTTCCAACTGAGGTACCTGGCTCATCTCACTGGGAGTGGTTAGACAGTGGGTGCAGCCCACAGAGGGCAAGGCAAAGCAGGGTGGGGCATTACCTCACCCAGGAAGCTCAAGGGGTTGGGGAACTAACTCCTTCCCCTAGCCAAGGGAAGTTGTGAGGGACCATGCCATGAGGAACAGTGCCTTCCGGCCCAGATACTATGCTTTTCCCATGGTCTTTGCAACCTGCAGACCAGGAGATTCCCTTGGGTGCCTACACCACCAGGGCCCTGGGTTTCAACTGGGTGGCCATTTGGGAAGATACCAAGCTAGCTGCAGGAGTTTTTCTTCATACCCCTGTGGGGCCAGGAACTCCAGCACGACAGAGCCATTCACTCCCCTGGAAAGGGGGCTGAAGCCAGGGAGCCAAGTGGTCTACCTCAGTGGATCCCACCCCCATGGAGCCTAGCAAGCTTAGATCCACTGGCTTGAAATTCTTGCTGCCAGCACAGCAGTCTGAAGTCGACCTGGGACACTTGAGCTTGGTGGGAGGAGGGGCGTCCACCATTACTGAGGCTTGAGTAGGCAGTTTTCCCCTCACAGTGTAAACAAAGAGGCCAGAAAGTTCAAACTGGGCGGAGCCCACTGCAGCTTTTCAAAGCCGCTGTAGCCAGACTGCCTCTCTAGATTCCTCCTCTCCCGGCAGGGCATCTCTGAAAGAAAGGCAGAAGCTCCAGTCAGGGGCTTATAGATAAAACTCCCATCTCCCTAGGACAGAGCACCTGGGGGAAGGGGCAGCTATGGGCACAGCTTCAGCAGACTTAAACGTTCCTGCCTGCTGGCTCTGAAGAGAGCAGTGGATCTCCGAGCACAGCACTCAAGCTTGGCTAAGGGACAGACTGCCTCCTCAAGTGGGTCCCTGATCCCCCATGCCTCCTGACTGGGAGACACCTCCCAGCAGGGATTGACAGACACTTCATACAGGAGAGCTCTGGCTGGCATCTGGTGGGTGCCCCTCTGGGACAAAGCTTTCAGAGGAAGGAACAGGCAGGAATTTTTGCTGTTCTGCAGCCTCTGCTGGTGATACCCAGGCATACAGTGTCTGGAGTGGACCTCAGCAAACTCTAGCAGACCTGCAGCAGAGGGGCTTGACTGTTAGAAGGAAAACTAACAAACAGAAAGGAATAGCATCAACATCACCAAAAAGGATATTCACACAGAAACCCCATCCGAAGGTCACCAACATCAAGGAAAAACCAGTGCAAAAAGGCTGAAAATTCCAAAAACTAGAATGCCTCTTCTCCTCCAAAGGATCACAACTCCTCGCCAGCAAGGGAACAAATCTGGACAGAGAATGAGTTTGACGAATTGACAGAAGTAGGCTTCAGAAGGTGGGTAATAACAAACTCCTCTGAGCTAAAGGAGCATGCTCTAACCCAATGCAAGGAAGCCAAGAACCTTGAAAAAAGGTTAGAGGAATTGCTAACTAGAATAACCAGTTTAGAGAAGAAATTAAATGATCTGATGGAGCTGAAAAACACAGCACGAGAACTTCGTGAACCATACACAAGTATCAATAGCCAAATCCATTAAGCGGAAGAAAGGATATCCAAGATTGAAGATCAACTTAATGAAATACAGCATGAAGACGAGATTAGAGAAAAAAGAATGAAAAGGAATGAACAAAGCCTCCAAGAAATATGGGACTATGTGAAAAGACCAAACCTACGTTTCATTGGTGTACCTGAATGTGACAGGGAGAATGGAACCAAGTTGGGAAACACTCTTCATGATATTATCCAGGAGAACTTCCCCAACCTAGCAAGACAGGCCAACATTCAAATTCAGGAAATACAGAGAACACCACAAAGATACTCCTCGAGAAAAGCAACCCCAAGATACATAATCGTCAGATTCACCAAGGTTGAAATGGAGGAAAAAATGTTAAGAGCAGTCAGAGAGAAAGGTCAAGTTACCCACAAAGGGAGGCCCATCAAACTAACAGCGGATCTCTCGGCAGAAACCCTACAAGCCAAAAGAGAGTGGGGGTCAATATTCAACCTCTTAAAGAATTTTCAACCCAGAATTTCATATCCAGCCAAACTAAGCCTCATAAGCAAAGGAGAAATAAAATCCTTTACAGACAAGCTAATGCTGAGAGATTTTGTCACCACCAGGCCTGCCTTACAAGAGCTCCTGAAGGAAGCACTAAATATAGAAAAGAAAAACCAGTACCAGCCACTGCAAAAACATACCAAATTGTAAAGACCATCAACACTATGAAGAAATTGCATCAACTAACGGGCAAAATAACCAGCTAGCATCAGAATGATAGGATCAAATTCACACACAACAATATTAACTTTAAATGTAAATGAGCTAAATCCCACAATTAAAAGACACAGACAGGCAAATTGGATAAAGAGTCCAGACCCATCGGTATGCTGTGTTCAGGAGACCCATCTCACGTGCAAAGACACACATAGGCTCAAAATAAAGGGATGGAGGAATATTTACCAAGCAAATGGAAAGCAAAAAAAAAGCAGGGGTTGCAATCCTAGTCTCTGATAAAACAGACTTTAAACCAACAAAGATCAAAAAAGACAAAGAAGGGCATTACATAATGGTAAAAGGATCAATGCAACGAGAAGAGCTAACTATCCTAAATATATATGCATCCAATATAGGA